ATGGCTTATTTAATAGCCACCCATTGCCGTAATATCTGAGCACTTCATAATCTTTAATGTATATTTATCCTCACAACACCACTGTGAGGTAGGGAACCACATCTTATCACCAGTTTACAGATGGGGAATTGAAATAGACACACCAAGTCAAGTGATTTTCCCATGATCACACAATGAAGCTGTAGAATCAAACCCCAATCTTTCAAGTCTCAGGCAAGTGCCCTCACCACTCAACCATTGTTCCTCTGTTTTTAATTATAGCTCAGTAGGACTGGGTGGCTGGCAATATGATATGGTGCTATCACCTGTAGGTTATACCTATCTAGGTGTTTCTGATGTGCACCAATCACTGTGGGATCTGAACACCATTTTACTGGTTCAAATCTGGCCCAGGGATGCAGTGACTGAAGGTGGCTGTTCTGTAATTGCTATTTGGTGGCCTATGTGAAAAGTTGTGGTGGGGAGGGAGAGCTCAGCCCAGTAACTTGTGGACATACCTAAAAAACCCAACAACACTGCAGTTAGTACTAATTGACATCTGGTTAGCAACCTCAGCACAGACACTAAGGACTAATTGGGTCACAGAAACAAATATCCCCTCAGCCCTATAGGGCAGTGTGGAAGTAAAGTGTGGAGATGAAGTGAGATAGCTGGCATCAATGCTGTTCATAGTGCAGGAAGAAAAAGGTTTCCAGTACCCAGGGCACTCAGGCACCATTGACTAATAGTAAATTCACTCTATAAAATAAAGATACCTGATTCCCTTCTGCAATTCACAGGCACCTAGTGTCAGGTGGGTATAGGTAGTCATTTGGAAAAGTGGACAACTTTTATTTTCTATTACAATTCTTCTTGTGGTGACTGGGAGGCATTTGGTTCCCCCTCAGTCTCTCTGTATGATCCTCCTCTGTTATGGCATTTCTAATAGCGGATCTATTTTTGAAAGGACTGCAGCCTAGTCAGTATATTTGTACATATCAATCTGCCAACTATGCCCCTGCTCTAGGAACCACTTCATTTTACGTCATACACAAAGGTTCTTCCCAGAAAAAACAAATGGCCTCGCTTCATTGCTATTCTCTCTTAAAAGAGGAAGAGATGCACTCATGATTACCTTTGTTATTTGAATTAGCGACTGAGTTGCTGGCTGCCAAGGTAAACAGATCCCCGGCATGGGCACAAAATCAATAATGATGAATGCAGCTGAGGTTCTAGTCCCCTTGTCCATTTGCAGCAAACTCTGGTTACATGTTCCATCCTCCTGTAGTCTGGATGCCCCAATGTTATGAAGCAATGTGTTAGCTAACTAAGTGTCTGAGTCTGACCAAATAGAGCCCAACAAAACCCCCAAGGGGCCACCTAACTGGCAAATATTGCATTTTCACAATTCAGGTGCACAGCACCTAGGATTACATCCAGGCATGTTAAAAAGTATCAGACACATGCTGTTTAAGCAACAAAATGAACTTACTAAACTTCTGTAGTCTACTGCAGAGGTGCCAATTCTCAGACACTAAGGCCTTGGCTACACTGGCAATTCACAGCGCTGCACTTGCTGCGCTCAGGGGTGTGAAAAAACACCCCCCTTGAGCGCAGCGAGTGCAGCGCTGTAAAGCGCCAGTGTAATCAGTGCCTGCAGCGCTGCACGCTCTCTCGCAGCGCTGCAAGCTACTCCCCTCGGAGCCAAGGCCTAAGTATGTTACCTATTGTTACTAAAGCTGCTGCACTGACCCCTGTAGAAAGTACTTTACAGCAGAGATTTTTTTAAAGGGGATATTTTTGTTTTTAAATTTTATTTTGTAGTTTTCTACCCTCCTGATGTTTTTTTTTCAAATCAGGGCCTGACTCTGTGAGGTGTTGAGTGTTTCCTGGAAGCTCTGGGCTACCAGTCCCTCAAAGAGCACTGAGAGTATTCAGTGCCTCGCAGGTTTGGAGCCTGTCCTTCAATTTTGTGAGTTTCTTGGAACCACCCCTATGGCCAATGAGATTAGCTATTAGGGCAGCCATTGGCACCCAGAAGTAGAGCAGGCTCCCTTGGCCTGGCTGGGCCTGAGGGGAGAGCCAACAAACGGCACCTCATCCATAGTCTGATGATCGCCCAACTGGCCTGTTCCCTATGCCCTTAACCAGAGGGGTTGGGGGAAACCTGTGTGAAAATAAGATGGGCAACAACTAGGGTCCGGGTGGGCTCAGAACAGCCACGTTGCCTACAACTGCGTACTTGGTCTAAGCTCCCCACCCCAACCTCAATGATGGGCCTCTGTACTGAGCCTCCCTGGGCACCACCACTGTCCCCTCCTAGCCACACCGAGTTTGGGCTACTGCAACCCCCTCCCCATACTAGAGCCCCAGCCCCACTGCCCCCAGAGGAGCACAGGGCCTGCCCCATTACACAGCCAACACCCAACCCGGGCAGACCTGAGCTCTGCCCCACCCCCGCACACCGGGCAGCCCCGAGCTCTCCCCGCGAGAGCCGAGCCCCGCCCCGCGCAGGCGGATCCGGGCGGGTCCCGCAGGGGAGGTCGGGGCTGCGCGGCGCGGAGCAGGCCCCTCGGCCAGGCCATGTCTGAGGAGGGAGGCGGCAAACTGCGCCTCAAGCCCAGGAAGGCGCCACCGGGCCGCAGCCGGGAGCCCAGCCCGGGTCGGGAGCCCCCCGCGCGGCGCCAGTGAGTCCCGGCCGAGCAGGGGCGGCGCCAAGTCCCGGGATGGAGGGGACGGGCTCTGGGACTGCTCCCCCGCCGCCCCGGGCCGAAGGGGAAAGGACGGTCTCGGTCCGCCCCGCGCCAGTGCAGGGGACCCGGCGGACCCACCCCGGGCCGGGCCTGAGGCGGCCGGGCAGCACAGGGGCAATCCCTTCCCCTCCCGCCGGATGCGTGGTACAAAGCCGGGGCCTGGGCGTCTCCGTTGGCAGCTGAGCTCTGGGGCTGCCGGGGAACGGGAGCGCCCAGGGCCTGGCTGCTGGCCAGGGACTGCTAAGGGCCGAGACCTGCTCAGGCCGCTGCACTAGAAGCGGCGGGCGCGTGTGTAACTTCCCTTGTTTGCTGCACCTCCGCTGGTGCTGGAGAAC